TGCCACCTAAGGCCATTAAGATCATTAAGGGTCAATATTTTGCAATATAAGCCCATTAATGAAGACATTTGAAGAGTGTCATAACTAACTTTTTAAAATAAAAATTAGTTTGACACCCTATGAAAAAGTTCTACCCAATGAACTTAATGAAACTTTTCTATAGAAAGTTCATTAAATTAAATGATTAAATTCTACCTCTAAAACACTTTTAAGAGTGTTACCAATAATGATGTTTTAAGACCATTTTGGTTACTTTGTTGGAAAGTTAGCATGGATGACTATAAAAAAAATTATATTTAATAATCTAACAAAAATACACCTATGTGGCCAAATTCTAATCATTAAAGTTAGGGTTTTTAGTTAGAATATTAGATAATTTTTTTTTTTGTTATATCACCAATTGACCTTGCTTTGTTAGATTTTTTTAATATGACTATTGAACCATAACCCTTATTTAAAAATATATATAAAGTTTATTTTTCTGTTCTGGTGTAAAGTTCAGCCCATTTTCAATTTAAATCATTTTCTCTACTCCAACACTCATTTCATAATGTCACTATCCGAACTTATATTGTTCAATTTTTTTTTTGTTGCTAAAAATATTGTTCAATTCTTATAATCTTTTTTATTAACTTTATATATTATCCTTATGTTTTTTTTTTGGAACAAATATATATTATCCTTATGTTACTGCCAGTTGTGTACTACTTATTCTTGCGTGAGTTATTAAAGCAGAGGGGCAGATGCAAAAGGACATTGCCTCATAGTCCATAGACGAGCTGAACCTGCATCATAGTCCATAGACGAGCTGAACCTGGTTAATTTATATCACTTTTTTTTTTGAGCAACTAATAAGTTGTAAATACGATAGTGATTAGGGCTGGGCACAGATACCCGTTATCCGTCCTTTACCCGTTACCCAACTTGTACCCGTCTCAAAAAATAGGGTATCCGTAACTCTCGAATCGGGTAACAGGTATTATAATTTTGATACCCACGGGTAAGGATCGGATAAAGAGTATCATTTTTTTTTTACCATCCGTCTTGTTACCCGTCCTCGTACTCGATTTGCTACCCAACCCGTAAATATCCGCATTCTATATCACTAATATTTGATAAACTTAGTTACAAAATAAATTGTATAATATATAGAATAGCATAAATACTCGAAACGTCAATATTTTATGTTTTTGAATTATCATCGATAATTTTGGAGATGATGAATTACAAGTTTTAAATATCAAAATTTGTAATATTATATTTTATGAAATGTATATGTTGTTTATTAAGAGATTTTTTTTTCTTTTCGTAATAACACCTCCATTTTTTTTTGTATATAAGTTGTTTAAGTTTAATTATAGATAAATTATATTACAATTGGGCGGATAAAGGTAACAAGTCGGATACCCGGTGGATCAACGAATTTTTGCCGGATACCCATTTTATAGGGTACTCAATTTTGCGGATCGGGTAAGAATACTGTTTTTCAAATATCCGTTAAAGTCGGGTCGAGTAACATGTATTACAAATTTTCAGGGTACCCATCTCGTGCCGGGTCATAATAGTGATACATCTCGAAGTTAGCCAAAAACAAAAAGGAAGTTACTTAAGAAAAAAGAATAAAATAGTAATAGAAGAAGGAAACATGGCATGTGACTACTGTATATTGGAATTTGGAAATGGTTTGAAATGGTTTGAAGAAAGCAAAAATGAGAATTTGAATAATCTAACTGAAAAAGTTTAGCAAAAAAAAAAAATTTGAATAATCGATAATGTGTTTGCTTTTATTAAATAACAAGAACTGATGACCAACATAAGGTAGTTTTGTTTATTTAACGAGT